TTACAAGAAATTGATATGAGAGGAAAGCGTTTAGCAAGAGGTTTTATTTAAAATTCCATATGGCCACCAAATTTCGATATCAGTTGCTCAAGCTTCCCAGGAATTACGTCAACTGATTTCTCCAGGAACTCTTGTGATATGGAAGACATAACTTTTTGTATTCACCCTTCAAGTTCTTCCAAAGTCTTGGTTCGGTCCAGTAGATTTGCTCCTTTTACCAACCCCAAAGAAAAAAGTCACAGGGTGTTAAATCAGGACTCCTTACAGGCCACCCATACATAAAATAAGAAGTTCATTTTCAATCACCGATTCAATGAATGTATGGATTATTTTATGTAAGTATCTAGAGCTGTGGTTCGCAAAAGGTGCGGTGTGGCGAAAGAGTGTAGAAGGTGAGTCGGAATGATTGTGAGACAATCTAAGATTTAGAAATAGTTTATAAAAAATTCATATGCCAAAAATAAATATCATTTCAAAATTTAAAATATTATTATTGATTTCTTGTAATTGCATGCATGGGTCCCAATATAAACAGTTATAAATAATTATTGAACGATTTTATCATTTTGATATTTCTGCATTATATGATGTATTAAGAATATAGTATCTATGGTCTGCAACTTGAAGGAGAGAGTTATCAATGATAATGTTCTGACTTCGAATCCGTGGTTATCTCCCTTTAATCATCTCTGTTTTTTTTTTAATGTACTTTTTATCACATAAAATTTTGTGGGGCGTGAGCAAATTTTGATTCTGAAAATGCGGCCCAGAGGAAAAATGCTTGGATCCACTGACATAGAGTAGCCAAAAGATCCTGTATACTTTTGGTAAACTCATAGTCATGCCAACTACCTTGGGGCAATGAAGTTGGGCCTGAGATGTCTGTTATACTGAATCTTAGTTTAATTTAATAGATAGCCGTCTATGAATTAATTTTTCAAGTTTTGCCAGTATTTTTAAGTTTCTAAAATTTACATTGAAATCAGCAAAAATCTGCCAAATAAGTTACAAAAACTAACACCCTAGAAATGTGGTTCCCAAACTGTTTTAAAAAATTCATATGCCAAAAATAAATATGATTTCAAAACTTAAAATATTATTATGGATTACTTCTAATTGCATACATGAGTCCCGGTATAAATAGCTATATATAATTATTGAACGATTTTATCATTGTGATATTTCTGCATTATATCAAGTATTAAGAATATAGGAATTAGGTGGTCCGCAAATTGGAGGAGAGCGTTATCAATGATTATGTTCTGATTTCGAACCGCGGTTATCTCCCTTTAACCATCGAAGATTTTTTTTTTTTGTTTTTTTTTGTTGTTTTTTTTTATTTTTAAATGTACTTTTTATTTCATGAAATTTGGTGAGTTGCGCGCAAATTTTCATTCTGAAAATACGGCCCAGAGGAAAAAAAAGTTTGGGAATCGCTGCTCTAGAGAAATGTTTTATTTTCCAAACACGGTCAGCATATTCTGTCCGTGTTCATAGTTGAGATTATTGAGTGTTGTCTTTTTCTTTTTTTACTAATAATGCTTCCATTTTTTTAGGCTTTTTTTTAGATGAGAACGAGGCTATTATATTTAAATGAGACCTAAGTGACCAATGATCAGAGAGAAGTAGACGTAAGTCTTCTCTTATTAAGTATGCTATATACAAAACATGACATACAAAACATGACATACAAGACATTTGAAGAAATTTTACAAAATTTACATCCAGAAAAGAAGAAAATTATGAAAAAATTAAATAAAATACTTAAACGCAGTAACTTGTCAATCATTTTTAATGAAACTTGTATAAAAGAGGGACTGCTGCCCAAATATACAATATAAGTATTTACTATTAACATCACATATATATATATATATATATATATATATATATATATATATATATATATATATATATATATATAATTATTTATTTAAAAATATGATTCCAAATCGCTACATAAGAGGTCTCATGTTTCAAAACAAGAACCGAAAACTTCAATATAATCCTTTAAATTAAATTGAGTTGAAATTAAAAAGGGCTCGTTCCATCTTCAAGCGAAATTTTTGTTGAATCATATTTTTTAAATAATTATATTTATGCTCTACTTTTGTATCGAGCAATATTTTTAAAAATAATAACAAAAATACTAAGGAACTTTGGACTATTCACCTAACCAGTTCTTCCTATTTTCTATATATTTTCACACACACACATATATATATATATATATATATATATGAATATATATATATATATTCAGAAATCAACAGAATAAAAATATGATGGCTGGTCTTTTCACGAATGCCGATCCATTGAGAATTTCATAATAAGAGATTCACTCCCCAAAAATATCCTGATAGAGGCCTTTCTGTTGGAAATTCGTCTTAACCAGGCGCAAAGAAAAGAAAGAAAGAGAGAGAAAAAAAAAAAAAAAGGAGGAGGAAAGGCAGAAAAGAAAAGAAAAAAGGAAGAAAGAGAGGCGATCAAGCTGAAAAAATCATATGGAAAGAAAGAAAAGAAAAAGAAAGAAAGAAAGAGGGATGGCAGAAAGAAAAAGAAGTAGGAAGAAAAGAAAGGGACTAAAGATGAAATTTTTGAAAAGAAAGAAAAGAAAGAAAAAGAAAAGAAAAGAAAGAAAGAAAAGAAAGAAAACATGAGAATAAGAGAAGGGAATGGAAGAAAGAAAGAAAAGAAAGAAAAGAAAGAAAAAAGAAAGAAAGAAAGAAAAGAAAAGAATGAAAATAAGAGAAGGATATCTGGAAAAGAAAGAAAAAGGAAAGAAAAGAAAAAGGAAAGAGAAAGGAAAAAAGAAATATCTGAAAAATAACAGAAGGGAATCTCAAAGCAAAACGAAACTGGAGAAAAAAGAAAGAAAGAAAAAAGAAAGAAAGAAAGAAAGAAAAGAAAGAAAAGAAAAAAAAAGAAAACATGAGAATAAGAGAAGGGATATCTGGAGAAAGAAAGAAAGAAAGAAAGAAAGAAAGAAAGAAAACCTGAAGAAGGGATATCTGGAGAAAGAAGAAAAGAAAAGAAAAAAAGAAAGAAAGAAAAAAGAAAAAGAAAAACCTTGAGAATAAGAAAGAAGGGAAAAGAAAGAAAGAAAGAAAGAAAGAAAGAAAGAAAAGAAAGAAAGAAAGAAAGAAAGAAACATGAGAATGGAGAGAAGTGAATCTGAAGAAAGAAAGAAAAGAAAGAAAGAAAAAAAAGAAAAGAAAGAAAAGAAAGAAAACATGAGAATAAGAGAAGTGAATCAGATAAAGAGATGGTTTGAAAGAAAGAAAGAAAGAAAGAAAACTTGAGAATCTCTTGAGAATAAGAGAAAATCTCCTAAGAGAAGGAATCTGAAGAAAGAAAGAAAGAAAGAAAGAAAGAAAGAAAGAAAGAAAGAGGCCTGTTGTTGGGAAGGGAATGAAGAAAGAAAGAAAGAAAGAAAGAAAAGAAAGAAAGAAAGAAAGAAAACTTGAGAATAAGAGAAGGGCTGAAGAAAGCAAAGAAAGAAAGAAAGAGAAAGAAAGAAAAAAGGAAAGAAAAGAGAATAAGAAAGGGAATCTGAAGAAAGAAAAGAAAGAAAGAAAGAAAGAAAGAAAAGAAAAAAGGAAAAGAAAACTTGAGAATAAGAGAAGGAATCTGAAGAAAGAAAGAAAGAAAGAAAGAGAAAGAAAGAAAGAAAGAAAGATGAAAATTGAGAATAAAAGAGGAAGGAATGAAGAAAGAAAGAAAAAGAAAGAAAGAAAGAAAGAAAGAAAGAAAGAAAGAAAATGAGAATAAGAGAAGGGAATCTGAAGAAAGAAAGAAAGAAAGAAAGAAAGAAAAAAGAAAGAAAAAGAAGGGAATGAAAAAAGAAAAGAAAGAAAGAAAGAAAAGAAAACTTGAGAATAAGAGAAGGGCAGAAAGAAAAGAAGAAAGGAAAAGAAAGAAAGAAAGAAAGAAAGAAAGAAAGAAAATGATACAAAAGAGAAGGGAACTGAAGAAAGAAAAGAAAGAAAGAAAAGAAAGAAAGGAAAAAGAAAGAAAGAAAACTTGAGAATAAGAGAAGGGAGAAAGAAAGAAAGAAAAAGAAAAAAGAAAGAAAGAAAGAAAGAAATAAAAGAAAACTGAGAATAAGAGAAAATAAGAAAGAAAGAAAGAAAGAAAGAAAGAAAGAAAGAAAAGAAAGAAAGAAAGAAAGAAAAAAAGAATCTGAAAGAAAGAAAGAAAGAAAGAAAGAAAAAGAAAAGAAAGAAAGAAAAGAAAAAAAAGAAAGAAGAAAGAAAAAGGATATCTGAAGAAAGAAAGAAAGAAAAGAAAGAAAGAAAGAAAGAAAAGAAAGAAAACTTGAAAGAAGAGAAGGGTGAAAAAGAAGAAAGAAAGAAAAGAAAGAAAGAAAGAAAAAATAAAAGAAAACAAATCAAACAAACAAACAAAAGAAAGAAAGAAAAAGAAAGAAAACTTGAGAAAAGAATCTGAAGAAAGAAAGAAAGAAAGAAAGAAAGAAAGAAAAGAAAGAAAGAAAGAAAAACTTGGAAATAGAGATGAAGGGAATCTGAAGAAAGAAAGAAAGAAAAGAAAGAAAGAAAGAAAGAAAAGAAGAAAGAAAGAAAAAAGAAAAGGAAAAGAAAGAAAGAAAGAAAGAAAGAAAGAAAAGAAAGAAAGAAAGAAAACTTGAAACAAGAGAGGAAAAGAAAGAAAGAAAAAACAAACAAAGAAAACTTGAAAAAAAGAATCTGAAGAAAGAAAGAAAAGAAAAGAAAGAAAGAAAAAGAAAGAAAGAAAAGAAAAGAAAGAAAGAAAAAAAAGAAGAGAAGGGAATCTGAAGAAAGAAAGAAAGAAAGAAAGAAAGAAAGAAAGAAAAGAAAGAAAACTTGAGAAAAGAAAGGAATCCAAAGAAAGAAAGAAAGAAAGAAAAAGAAAGAAAGAAAGAAAGAAAGAAAGAAAAGAAAGAAAGAAAACTTGAGAATAAGAGAAGGGAATCTAAAGAAAGAAAGAAAGAAAGAAAGAAAGAAAGAAAGAAAGAAAGAAAGAAAACTTGAGAATAAGAGAAGGGAATCTGAAGAAAGAAAGAAAGAAAGAAAGAAAGAAAGAAAGAAAGAAAGAAAGAAAGAAAGAAAACTTGAGAATAAGAGAAGGGAATCTGAAGAAAGAAAGAAAGAAAGAAAGAAAGAAAGAAAGAAAGAAAGAAAAAAAAAAAAGAAAGAAGAAAAATTGAGAAAAGAAAGAAAAGGGAAAAGAAAGAAAGAAAACTAATAAGAGAAAAGAAAGAAAGAAAAGAAAGAAAGAAAGAAAGGAAACAAAGAAAGAAAGAAAGAAAGAAAGAAAAGAAAAAAGAAAGAAAGAAAGAAAGAAAAACTTGAGAATAAGAGAAGGAATCTGGAAGAAAGAAAGAAAGAAAAAAAAAGAAAGAAAGAAAGAAAGAAAGAAAGAAAGAAAGAAAACTTGAGAATAAGAGAAGGAATCCAAAGAAAAGAAAGAAAGAAAGAAAGAAAGAAAGAAAGAAAAAGAAAGAAAAGAAAGAAAAAGAAAAACTTGAGAAAAGAGAAGGGAATGAAGAAAAGAAAGAAAGAAAGAAAAAGAAAGAAAGAAAAGAAAGAAAGAAAAAAGTCTTGAGAATAAGAGAAGGGAATCTGAAGAAAGAAAGAAAGAAAGAAAGAAAGAAAGAAAGAAAGAAAGAAAGAAAGAAACTTGAGAATAAGAGAAGGAATCTGAAGAAAGAAAAAAAAGAAAGAAAAAAAAAAAAAAGAAAGAAAGAATAAAGAAGGAATAAAAAAAAAGAAATAAAAAAAGATGAAAGAAAGACTAAAATGAAAGGAAAGGCAGAAATGAAATAAAGGCGACTAAGATGAAAAGAAAAACAAAATCTGTGTGGTGAGAAATATCGGAGAAAAAAAGAAAAAAAAAAAGATCTGTAAAAAAAAGAGAAAAAAGATGGAAGACATAGATGGACTTGTCTGTTGGTCTGTTGGAAATTGACTTGTTCGTTGGTCGTTAATTGATCGTAATTAGGCAGCATTTAAGGCCAAATGAAATCGAACGACTTTGAAATTGAATTATTTAATCAAACGCAGTTTCATTGGCAATCAATGCATTTTAGGACCACGTAAATGCATTAAAAATCTCAACAATAATGTGACAAGTTAAAAGGCTAAACTCTTGGAGTACGAATTCCGAGCTACTCGCACTTGTCTCATTTCAAGGAATCGGAATTTTTCTTTTTATATTTATCTGCTTCTTTTTGCTTTCTGAGATTTATGGAGTGGTTTTATTGGCCTGGGGACATGCGAAAAGACACAGGGAGGAGAATAAAAGAGAGAAAGCCACACACACACACACACACACGGCACTACATAGATACACGCAGACATAGATTGATAGAAGAAACGGATAGATAGATAGATAGATATGAACAGAATGGGATAGATAGATAGATAGATAGATAGATAATAGATAGATAGATAGATAGAAATGAACAGATAGATAGATAGATGATAAAACAGAATGAGATAAATAATAGATAGATATGAACAGAACAAGCAGAGATAGATAGATAGAAAGAAAGATAGATAGATGGAGATAGATAGATGGATATAAAACATGAGATGATAAGATAGAAGATAGATATAGAGCCAGAATGAGATAGATAAAAGATAGATAATAATAGATAGATAGATATGAAATGAACAGAATGAGATAGATAGATAGATAGAAGATAGATATGATAAAAGAATGAGGATAGATGGATAAAATAATAGATAGATAGATAGATAGAAAGAATAGAAATGAACAGAATGAGATAGATAATAATAATGAGATGGATGAAATGAACAGAAGATAATAGATAGATATGAAGATAGATAGATAGATAGAAATATGAAAAAAAGAATGAGATATTAAGATAGATGAGATAGATAGATGAAATGAATAGAATGGATAGATAGATAGATAGATAGATAGATAGATAGGGATAGAAATAGATAAAATAAAATGAATGGGATAGATGATAGATAGATAGATAGATAGATAATAATGAAATGAACAGAATGGGATAGATGATAGATAGATAGATAGATAGATAGATAGATAGATAGAAATGAACAGAATGGGATAATATATGATAGGATAGATAGATAGATAGATAGATAGAAGAAATGAATGGGAATGGGATAGATAGATAGATAGATAGATAGATAGATAGAAGAATGAACAGAAATGGGATAGATAGATAGATAGATAGATAGATAGATAGATAGATAGATAGATGAAATGAATAGAATGGGATAGATAGATAGATATAGATAGATAGAAATGAATAGAATGGGATAGATAGATAGATAGATAGATAGATAGATAGATAGATAGATAGATAATCATAAGTAGATCGATTATATAGTGAGAGAGATGACAAAAGATAGACAGATACGAACGAAGCGTATATATAACACGCCCGACTGGAATTTGTTCTTAGCACCCAAAACATGAAAACTCCTTCCTGAAGATTTCTTTTAGTTTTAATTCCAATTTAATCGATTAAATTTAATATTTCCAGTAAGCAAAATATGTTGCAAAACGAATAAATTTGATTGCAATGATATTTTTAAATCGCTAAAATCGGCCATATTAACAAATCCGTCAACACAGTAAGATTTTAATAATTTTCATTACTATCCATTTATCATAAAAATTTAGGTAAATATTCTTAATATTATCTTGAATTTTAGACACTTTGACTTGTGGAAATGTTAGAAAATTACCATTATATTTTAAATTTACTATCGTTACCGCCTTTTTTTTTCTAATAGTGTTGCGTATGGACATCCTTATTTACATCAAATTACTGTAAGCTTTTCTATTTATGATTAGTTTTTACTTACTAACAATATCAACTAAGCACTACAAATTAATACCGAATCTTAAAAGATAGAAAACTTTATGAATTATTCTAATTAAAATTTATAAAAATGAAAACAATTCTTGTAAAAATTCCGTATTCATTGAAAAAAAATATTCTTAAGAAAATAATTTTCACAATATTCATAAAAGCAATTTAAAAAAAAGTTCTAAATAAATATTGTCCGAGTTTTATTGCATTTTGTATTTTAAGATGCAGAGCTGATTTTTTTTTCCAACTGGAGATGCTTGCTTGACAAAAAAATTTCACGATTTAAATTCTCCAAGAAATTTTCATTATAAATAATATAAACTTTATCTTTACGGAATTTCATCAAATTAAGTAAGTGGACTAAATAATATAATTTTTTTTTTTTTAAACCGCGCTTTTTCTAAAAACCATTATTTCTGAAATAGTTTCATTCATTGGGGAATAAGTTCTGAAAGTTTCATTAATTGATTTTTGCAAAACTTTCCACATCAATAAAAAGACGCTAAAATTCGCATAATAATTTATGGACAACAATGACGCAAAGGAAGCCAGTTTTTTTAACAATTGTTTCCATGGTTTTAAAACGGATTTTAAAAAAAATAAGCCACGACTACTATCTCCAAGCCGCTCCATCCAGAGCATTAGAAGCCGATTCAAACAAGGGTATACAAATGATAGAAATTATTAGAAGGATTTTTGATAATCATAATTAAGCAATTCATTTGTTACAGAAAATGGCCAGTTCTATCCTAAAGGGGATGCGTTCCACCACGGACTATGTGATCAAATTGCGCTATATCGAATAAATCTCTTTTTCTTTGTTATCAACCAATATGTCGCTACAGTTGGTACAAACGTTTGCCTGATAACGCAACTGTATATTGTAAAAAATTCTTATTTAGCGGATTGCACCGCTGATGAGTCCCAAATATTTTTTTCAAAAGCTAATATCCAGAGTTTTTACACCTTTGGTGAGGTTTCTTCAAGACACGATAAATTAATTTTGATTTTCTCAAATTTCCTAATAAATTATATCATATATCTAAATAATGTGTGAAAAATATATAGGAAAAAGAACTCGTGAGGAAAAATCTAAAGTTCTTTAGCTATTTTTGTTATTTTTTTAAAAATAAAATGCCATCGATCTTTACAAAGTTCATTTAAACTATAACATATAGTTTTAGTTTTTTTTACAACGGTAGAGCATTATCTTATATTTAAAAATTTCTTGAAATTTTAAGATTTTTTTTATATATATATATGTGTATATGTATATATAATATATTATTAAACATTTTCCTTTTACTGTAAGAGTTTTCCCGGCTAGGGGCAAAAAGATTTTTTCTGTTGGAAAGAAATTCAAAAAAATGTTTAAAATTAATATGAGGGAAAAAGAAACTTCTCCCAGGTTACGCAGTAAACATGATTGAAATCAAGCATTTAAATTTTCCGATTAAAAGGTTTATCGGAATCATGGAGCCTGAAAGGAACATTTGGCAACCAAGGCTAAAAGAAACAATTAACATAGTTATTTAATCCTTAACAGTGGGGATTGCAAGATCTCGACGTCAGTCAGTACCTTTCCTATTTTTTGCGTAATCAATATATATCGAAGAGATCATTGGAAATTAACAGTGTCTCCGATTTCCAGAAAAACAGAGAGTCAATCCTAACGGAAGATGGCACCTTTAAAATACAAGGCTCTTTTCTTTTCAATACGACGTCAAATATTGTTGAAAATAAATTTTAACCAAAATGATCTAAAATATCAAATCTAAATCGTTTTATTTTAAATAGACCAATATTTATTAGAAAATATATTCCATTTAAATAGATAAGTCATAAAAAAGGAACAAAAATGTGACTTCAAAGGCCGCACATTTCGGTATAGACTCTTTTAGACTTTTTTCCTTTTACGAAAGGGTTAGCGACGAAATGTGTTCATTTTGATTTCGTCCAAGTTTTCTGTTCTCGTGCAGTTGCAGAGACGCAGATATAATTTTAAATTCAATAAAAAAAAAAAAAAACATTTTTAAATTAAAAAACAAATTATTTATTGCTGAATAATTTCCGATAAAATTTATCTTCCTATTTGTTTTTGTTTTTTTTGTTTTTTTGACGTGCCAACTTTGACATTGACCATATTCGCCCAAAGTGGGATTGCAATGAATGCGATAAAAGGGAAACACAACTCAAATGCCTGAGTATGTTGTGTATTACAACAGGGAACATTAAATGGCAAACTACATAATTTCCACAAACAAATTTTGTCATATGCTAATTTTAGGACATGGCAATAGTAATGGTCAACAAACCGTTTTCCTATATGGAAACATTCAGGTTTTATTGTTGAGCTGTCAGAACAGCTTTCATCACAAAAATGAATGTTTTTTTTTCTCAAAAACAATTACTTAGGAAAATAGGTTTCTCATGTCCATAGATTTATATATTATTTAAGTATTATATTATTATTTTTGTTCAAGGAAACATTTGGCATTCATTGACCGATTATTTCAGTATATATTTTCGTATTAAATTTAAAAAGTCTCTTTAAAACAATTATTCAGGAAAACATTCTCTTCAAGTCCAGTAGATGTTATCGCTCTTTTCCAAATTGACATTATTAGCCGTTTTCCTATTAAACATTTGGCATTCATTGGCCGATCAGTTGTACTGATTTTCGGTTAAAATTTATAAAACCTTTCTAAAAAACACTTTTCTTAAGTCCAGTGGCTGTTATTTTCCATTATTTTTGAAATTAAAAAAAAAATTAAGTTAATTTTTTGTTTGATTTTAAAATATTTAAAATTTGATTACAAGCATTGTTTTTACGGGTTGATTAAAAAATTTATCCATTTTTGTTAATGCCGATTTGTTAAAAAGTCCTGATGCGATTTTTATGGATTTAAAAATAATTAATTTTTCAATTAAAACGAGCGGTCCTGTTCATTTGATTAAATTATTGATGGATTGTTGAATGACGAACCGATGACAATTACTACTGATGACCATAAATGACATAATTTTTAAGTCTGAGTTTTAAAAAAATTTTCTATTTGAGTATGACACACACTAATGGAAATACATAAAATAAAATTATTTAGTGAAATAGTAAATGAAAAAAGAAAAAAACTTTTAAAATTTTTTTTACACTTTTAAAGCTGAACGGAAAATAATTTTTGAAAAGAAACGAAATGTTATGAAAAGGCCCGTAAAGGGACAAAACCCTTAGATCACGTGACCTTGTTATAATAATGGCAATTTCTGTATATCAAACATGGAAATAAGGAATGTATTAAGTAAAAAATACAACATAAAAAATTATTTTTAAAAAAAGTAGCGCAACTAAATTTATTAAACTTAGCAACTTAGCAATGCGTAATTTTTTTCCACTTAATTACTACATCACCTCGAGGAACCTTCCTAATACAGAGCTTTACACGATTTTAAACTATTATAAATTATTATAATTAAAATTTCTTAAAAAACGAAAAAATTCTTGTAAAAATTAATTATTCATCAGAAAAAAATTATTTCTTCAGACAATAATGTCCTTAATATTACTTATTTACAAAACCAATTAAAAGCTTTTCTAATTAAGTAATATCATAGTTTTATTGGATTCATTATTTTTCAATTCGGAGCAGATTTTCAGTTAGCTCAAATTTGAAATAAAAAGTAGTTTATTTACCATCTTCGAAGACTCGTACTTTTAACAAAAAAAAATTTCAGGAACCAAAAAGGTTTTGGGGAAATTTCATTAAATTAAGTAAATGTGGGGTAACATATTTTAAAAAATTATATTTTTACCAAAATTTTCTAAAAAAATATTTCAAAAATAATTTCATTCATTTGTGAATAAGTCCTGAAAATTTCATTAAAATCGGACAATTATTTGATTTTTACAATAATTTCTAAATCAATATGTTTTCAACGAAAAAAAATCGCAAAAAAAAAATGTTATTTTCTGTGACGCCGCGATGACGTAAACAAAGAAGAATTTAATCAAAATTTTCGAACGTGTTAGAAAGGATTAAAAATTTCAAAAATAATTAAAAATACTTTGGTCTTTCATCTTAATAATAATATAAGCATTTTGACGATAAAACTTTATTTTAGTTAAGTTTGTGGCATTTTTCATTACGCTATATGCTGTTTTCCCGCGAAAACAGTGAACATGCTTACTTTTATCACTATTGCTCTCAAGTCAGTTGTATACAGCTGAGAGTTTAGGTATTTCTGAACGGGTTTGACGCCATTATTGGCATCCATTTGAAAATCTCGATCTGATGATGCTATAAAACATGACCGGAGGTGGACTTTAGGATATACATTGAATGATTGTTTGTTTCCAATATTAATGGCGGTTTCTTTCCTCGCCTTTTATCTGAAGTGGTGTGTAATTGTCAACATCTGGATTATGTCATAAGTTTCTGTTTGGTTTACATGTGCTATTCATTTTAGTCGTTGCAGCTGTTGGCAGTCCCCAAGT